GATTTATTTTGAGTCCTTGATTGACTCGATAAATTAGATTTCGGTTCATTGGCACCCAGATAAACAATGCTTTATTATGCTTATAAAAATAAGAATACAAATTTCCCCCCCTTTTTTGAACAAAAATGGTTAAACAACAGCTGCAATGAGATAGCGAAAACTAACTCAACTTGTCAACAAAAGAGCATCCGAAATAGGTGTAATCAGATAAAAATAAAAATGAAGAAACACACAAAAATAATTTAGGAAAGAGGCATGGCTGTTGAAATTAGTAGAGTGTATCAAGAAGGTGGATTCGGCATCAAAGATTAAACCAATAGAAACACAGCGAAGGTGAGAAAAGAAACCAAGCATGACATTAATCGAAATCACAACAATGAATAATATTCTCTCACTTTCTCATGGGAATGTTTCGAGTGCGTGAAATTTTCCATTCGTACCCTTGTCTTAGCATGAATTTTCAAACCTCCTTTTTTTAAGTTAAAAAAGATTCGGTAAATTGATGTTCCCATAAAGCGAGAGTAAATAATTTAGTAAAAACAATAATTACATTTTTAATTTGTTTAAAATTTAACAAGAAAATCCCTGTTAATAGGGGTGTGTACAAAGGAGGGAGGAGTGGTTGATGTAGGAATAAACACGAGATTTTTTTTTATATAAAAATTGTAAGTGAACTGAACTAATAAGTTTACATTATTTATAATAAATTTTGCAATAAAATCTTGTATGATACTATGCCACAGCTGTTAATCAGTCTCATTGTTCAGTGTTCATCGATTTGGCATCATTATCATTTTGGAAATGTCGTCAGTTTCATGTCAATATTCATATAAAGATTTATATAATATAGATTTTAAACATATTTTTATATTTGTATTCATGTTACTCATTAAGGGTGAAAATTTGCGTACACAATTTGTACAGGGAGATGTGTTAAAATATAAGCAATTTTAAATGCATACGTTACGTTTAAAGCAGTACGTTTTAAAGACAGAATCAACGTCTAAATAGTATCGTAATATATCAATGTTTCTTTTTACTTGTTCGGGCTTCAGGGCTGATTGTGCTCCGGAAAAAATCCAAATATCCGGATTTTTTAGACTAACAGTGATCCGGAAGTTTCTGGAGATAGAAGGTCCAGACGTTTCAAAAAATCATTGATCACAGAAGTTCCCGGAAATCAAATTTTCAGAGGTGGAACTTAAAAACACAGTTTATTTTATTTGTTTGTAAGGGAGATCCAGAGAGATACTTGATAAGCTTATATTCATGATTATAATCATGATTAACATTCATTTTTTTATCAGTAAATCAATTATCAATCAGTAATCAATTATTTTATCAATTTTTTATCAGTTGTTATAATCATAAACTCAAAAAAGAAAGACATATTTGTAACTTTTAATTACTTCTCCAGGTCATCATAGGTATGTGTAAAATTTTAAATATATTTTAAAACTAAGAAATATTGAGAAAAAGGAAGAAAAAAAACTTGTTTACATTTTTTTCAATTTAAACTTCTTTTTTTTTTTTTTTTTTTTTTTTTTTAAACTAAAGAAATTTTCCGGAATTTTGACTTGGGCTCACAATCACCTCTGGGGCTTTAAACTAATTCAAGTATTTAGTTTCTAACTTAATTACATAGTTTTTTAATAAACACGCATGCTTTAATATTTTTTTAATATATTCATTATTTATATTTATTTCTATAATATGCTTCTTAAAGAATTGAAAAGGTTTATTAACAGTTCACTGAAAAGTCTTTAAAAAAAATTGTGAACGAAATCTATTGATATCATAATAATAAAGAATTTTAATATCATAACCCAATTACCAATCATGTATACTTTCTTTGCTTTATTTTTGAAAAAGATTCTAGAACTATACATTAATGGCCGTCACTACAAAGCATTTTATATATGGGCATTTCTAGCCAAACGACGTCGACTTTGAGTCAAATAGTCTTCTTTAACAGCTATATTCATAAGCATATAAAAACTGTTGATACAAACAACTCAGAATCCTTTTTGGTAAGATCACCCATACTCACAATAATTGTGTTAATAGCGTCAAATCTAAAACGCCAGAAGTACATGACTCAAACGCTAATATGTCCATTGTGTGGTTGAAAGTCAACGTACCTTTCATAAGTCTCATTTAATAACACAACGTGATAACTTCGCCTTTTTATGTTTGTATTCGTAACTAGCGAACAATGTTTCTGTAGAAATCAACTACCTCAAGTCAAAAAGCCCGAACGGACATTTAGCTTTCTACGATACTTCATCCGGCTTTTATTGAGGACTTCATCAGAATTCTAAAAGACACTTTTTTTTTCTTTTACGATTAGGGTGGTTTGAAATACGACTCATTCTTCTATCTCATTTAGTGAACATAACTATGTAGAGTTGATCCCACTAGAAACATATTCTATACAATTGTTTCAGATCCCTTGTGAGTCAGATACTTTTCCTAAGAACAAAAACTTCCCAATTTTGATCGTAAAAGACCCACGTGATTATGCATTCATTGTTGTAAGATGAGACCTTGCTCGTTTGTTGAATGCAATTTCCTGGCCAATTTATCAATTAGGAGTTTTGTTATGAACTTATTTACGAAGTTTAATGCCAAATACACATTTAGGTGATGTTAGAGTTATCACCTTTTAGTTTTTATAAATGTTAAACAAAATGTTATTATTATTATTTTTTATTTTTTTTGCATCGATTAAAATTTTATTTCTTGTAAATCTATTCTTTATTTTATTTTATAACCGTCGTTGAACAGCCGACTCAATTTCGGGTTTACAACTACTAATGTTCAACTCCGTAGCCTTGTAATCTTGAACCCAATTCAGAAAACTAGGAAACCCCTGGATCATTTTAATCTTAGCACAAGTATTGCAATAACTATAAAGTACCAATTAGCTTCTTTTTTTTAAATCCAACTCAAAGAAGACTAAAATCTATCCTTCAAATTGCCACAATTTAATTACGAAAGCAATTTGTTATAAAAATATTAAATGTTTTCCTTTTAATAAGTCCTTAATATTTAAATTTATTTGACAATTTACTTAGTCATATTTCCCTTATTATAATTACAAGTAAAATATGGATAATTGAAAAAAGTTTAATTATTTAAATTTATATCTAAGCATCGATTTTTTTTATTTTTACATTTTATATCCGTTGTTGAACAGCCGATCCAATTTTAGATTTACGATTACTAATGTTCAAGTCCGTAGCCTTGTAATTTTTAATCAATAAGACAAGGAAACTCCTGGATCAGTACGCCAAGAGGTATTGATTTGATATGGGAACATGGAGGACTTAATGACTCGACAAATTTGACGTGCACCAGTCACAATTTACTACAAGGGAAAATTTCGTCCGGTGGAGATCAAACCCAAGTTCTCTTGGACATGGTCCCAGAGCCCTACCAACCAGGCTATCCCGGCCCATCTATTCGTTATTAATTGACTTCGTATTTCTTAAAAATCTGTTATGTATTAGTTTACCTCTTATTTTTCAAATATCTATTATTGTTAAATCAACCACAGCCACTTATCTATTAATTGGCTTAGTATCTATCATTTATTAGTCGTTACGTTATGAATATGCTTAAGAAGTTAATACTAAATACCCATTTTAAGAAAAAGGTTATATTAAAATAATCCTCGATTAATTTTTGTAAAGCCGGTTCAAAGTGCTCTTATTTCACAAACATTTTAAACTAAAAATACATTCTAGCTTACCTAGTAACTGTTAATACTCATTTGTGAGTTTATCTAAAGAGTAAATATTAAATAACAAATTTAAGGAAAAGGTGTTGATAGATTTGTCTCTGTTTAGTACTTATAAAATTTGAAAATGTTGATCAAAATGTTTTTCCTTCGACAGAAAGTTAATTTTAAAATCAATTAATTGACTTCGAGTACCTCAATTTATTATTCAACTTTATATTTTTTAAATATGTTAATTCATCAGTCGACCATAGTCCCTTATTTATTGACTAACCTAGTATCTATGATTCATAACCCATTATGTTATGAATAGGCTTGCAGAGTTAATGCTAAATGTGGAAGAAGAAAAAGCTGATTTTAGAGCAATTAGTTTTCGTTCATGTTGTTCAAAGCGCTTTTTTGAAAATTGAATCCTTTATTTGATAATAATAATAAAAGACGCTTAGCTATTAGTTGTTGGTAAGTTTGCTGAAAAGTGAAAATATTTCCTCCATTTTAATTAATTGCTTATTATTTTAGATTTCTTTTTCGTGCTTATTTTTTTACTATGTGAAAGACGCTCATTAAAATTAAAAATTATAAAACTCATAACACTCAATAAATGCAACTCAGACCTGACACGAAATTTTGAAAAATAAAACGTAATAAGTATACACAGATTTGGGTACTCAATGATTGAACATTCAAATTTAATTAGTTTTTACAATATATGCTGAGGGACATGTTGCCGAGTTTTTAAAGATAATGAATGATGTTTAAAGATAATGCTTTTTAATTTTGCGAATTTCGGAGTTTTCGTTAAAAACTTATAACACCTGTAACAGACAATTTTCAATTTTTAGAAACTTATTAAAGTTTATAAAAACAGGAATAAATGGAAATGGTATAAAAGAGTTTTCTTAACAAAAATTATTTAAACAATTTAGCATTTTTTAAGCTTAATTACAAAAAATTAAAAGTCAGCAAACTTGCACTTGAATAGGTTGCTCAAATACACATCCGCAGTTATTATTACTACTTTTAAGAACATTTTTGCAATTAAATTTGCTTCAGTACTATAAAAATTACTTCCTAACACCTTAAACCAGCGGATTCCATCATGAACTTTTCCATTATTTAAAATTCGAGTCGTTATTAAATAGAAACAACGTTGAATTTCAGCTTTTCATTCCCAAAGTTAAATTTTCATTCATACATTCTCATTTTTGTCTTCTTTTCCAAAATCCTTATCAGTAATATTTTCTTCTTTAATTTTCAGCGGGAGGTATCAGTTCACAAGAAATCATACTTCTTCACGAAAATCTGAAGAAAGTGTTCAATCACTTCAGTCAGTATCATCAGTCTCCTACATTCATTCACACACTTTATCTGACGATATTAAGAGACAATGCCTATGACCACGAAGTTGTGATACAGAAAATCCTAGACGGTAAGAACCTTTATTCTATGTTCCATTCCAGNTTGCAGAGTTAATGGCTAAATGTGGAAGAAGAAAAAGCTGATTTTAGAGCAATTAGTTTTCGTTAACGTTGTTCAAAGCGCTTTTTTGAAAAATAAATCCTTTATTTGATAATAATAATAATAATAAAAGACGCTTAGCTATTAGTTGTTGGTAAGTTTGCTGAAAAGTGAAAATATTTCCTTTATTTTAATTAATTGCTTATCATTTTAGATTTTTTTCGTGCTTATTATTTTACTATGTGAAAGACGCTCATTAAAATTAAAAATTATAAAACACATAACACTCAATAAATGCAACTCAGACCTGACACGAAATTTCGAAAAAACGAAATAAGTATGTACAGATTTGGGGTGTTCGAGGATTGCACATTTAAATTTCATTAGTTTTTACAATATATGCTGAGGGATATGTTGTCGAGTTTTTAAAGATAATGAAGGAAGCATAATGAATGATGTTTAAATATAATGCTTTTCAATTTTGTGAATAATGGACTTTTCATTAAAAACTTCTAACAATTGTAACAGACAGTTTTCAATTTTTAGAAATTTATTAAAGTTTATAAATACGGGAATAAATGGAAATGGTACAAAAGAGTTTTCTTAACAAAAACTATTTAAACAATTTAACATTTTTTAAGCTTAATTTCAAAAAATTAAAAGTCAGCAAACTTTCGAAGAAATTGCACTTGAATAGGTTAATCAAATACACATCCGCAGTTATTATGACTACTTTTAAGAACATTTTTGCAGTTAAATTTGCTGCAATACTATAAAAATTACTTCCTAACACCTTAAACCAGCGGATTCCATCATGAACTTTTCCATTAATTAAAATTCTAGTCGTTATTAAATAGAAGCAAAGCTGAATTTCAGCTTTTCATTCGCAAAGTTAAATTTTCATTCATACATTCTGATCTTTGTCTTCTTTTCCAAAATCCTTATCAGTAATATTTTCTTCTTTAATTTTCAGCGGGAGGTATCAGTTCACAAGAAATCATACTTCTTCACGAAAATCTGAAGAAAGTGTTCAATCACTTCAGTCAGTATCATCAGTCTCCTACATTCATTCACACACTTTATCTGACGATATTAAGAGACAATGCCTATGACCACGAAGTTGTGATACAGAAAATCCTAGACGGTAAGAACCTTTATTCTATGTTCAATTCCAGAATTTAATTTTATAAATTAAATTTAATAAAAGAAAAACTTCATCGGTTATCATAAAGTTATGTATTAAAAACTTAATTTCTGATATAAATAGTCTAAAAGTACAGAGATTTCTTAATTTTAAAGGTTTAAACCACAAAAAATCTAGGTAGGTAGTAGCATAATATCTATAGAATAATATGGCTGGGTCACATCTAAAGAAAGGATGATGGTGACTCAGTTAAGAAGCTGGATTTTGGAAAGTCTAATGGCAACCGAAAAAGGGAAGACCCAACACCAGATGGATTGGTCCTATGGAAAATGATCTTAATATCATGGACATCAGTAGATGGTGAAACCTAGCCTCTGATCGACCCATATGGAAAAGATTAGCGGCTGGTCGAGCCATATGGAAAAGATGATCTGTACTAGGTCATGCTGATGAAATAAAAAGTAGCACACTATACCAAACATTTTAATGTGCGCATAGAAATTATACCGTTCTTGATGAAAAATGCTCTTAAAAACAATTGAAAAGGTGGAATGAACAATTGGAAAAGGTGACATGTCATTATTTTGTTCCAAGCTTTTCATTTCTAAACATTGCTAGTTATTGACACAAACGTTCTGCATTTGACAAAAAACCGGAGCCCTTATTTTTTCATCCCCTTTAGTTTATCATAATGTAAATCATTGCGTTTCGCAAAAATAAAATAAATCTTAAGTAAACGTATCTCATTTGCTATTTCAGTTCAGAAAATTAATGACTAAAACCGACAAAAACGATCACATAAAATCACGCTAAGTAAACCGAACAAGAACATAAAGTTACAAAATTTTTATTTTCATATAGCGTTGAAAGACTAAGCTACTTGCAAGTCCAGCTGTGCACAGTGCAGGAACAGCTTTTTTTCTAGAAATCCGCATATTAGATTACAGGTGTATCAACCATTGGAATAGGGAATGAGAGTTTCCGAACAATATGCTATCACCGACAAAATGTGTATTGTATTTTATTACCTTTATACCGATTGGGAACAGATCCATAAATTTCATTTACGCATTGAAAAGCTTCTTAAATATTATTCAATATGTTGCTTTCGTTTAATCAGCCATTGATCTTGAGAGTACAGATTCAATAACTTCCTTATGAAACTTACCGCCTCTTGAAAAATATATTATGCATTTTACGCTGGTATGATAGTAACTTTCTGAAAAATTGGACAACTTATAACTTTGTCAGCTACTTGAATCATAACATAGTTTAGATCTACTGCAGTGGTAATAAGATGTTAAATTGAAACATGTTTAGTTTTAATTTGAAAAGTTATATCCAGAATCTAGCTTAAGCAGTGCGATGATATGATTTGATTTCATGATTTAAGCAACCAGAAGGTCAGCTGCACTGTTAGAATTTTTATTCTAAAATTATGGTAAAATAGCCGGCAGTAGTCTGTCCATCCAATTAACCGTAAAGTTTAGTGTAAAGAATTTTTATTTTACGGTTTTGAAACCGTTTACTACTAGTATGGTAAAAAAACCACGAATACAAAAGTATACGGTTTTTAACCATTTATTGCAATATTATCGTCATCAAAGAGCACCTACATTTTAATTCTAGCTTTGTGCTAGATAGCATTGTTTAAACAAATGCTTATTAAAATCATTTGTTTCTTGACCGTTAGCAGCAGAATTTATTACAATGCTACCGTCAAAGGGAATTAATTTATCTTTAATCAAATTATTGCCTCTCCGAATAATTAAGGCACTCATAGTTCAATTGGAGCTCTCGGCTGTATAGTTTACTAACAGTTGTGAACAAAATATATCTTCAAATAAAATTAATCGACAATCGGAATTTTTACCACTTTCCAACTGGCACAATTAATTTTAACTATAATTCTGTGTCTGATCCCTATGCAACTTACAATTGAATTTTAAATGTTGCAAGCAAAATCCTTTTTTTTTCTTTTTCTTTTTATCGGTAATGAAAATTTAGGCCACTTTCCAACAATGTCGAATACTAAGAAGAAGAAAATGATGAAATTAAAAAAAAATTTGAAAACTAAATTTTTAAGTGGAATGAAAAGAAGAAAATAATTCTATTTTGGTCACACCTAAAACGAAATGAAATAGGTAGCATCACCTTTCTAATAAATATCTATCACCACCGAAAGACATATTTGGAAAATGGCCTCCTAAGTTTTTCGCTTTAGGTATGACCAAAATGGAATTATTTTTATCTACTGGGAAAATATAGTTTTGTATAGTAGTCCACTAGGAAAATAAAGTTTTGTAAAATTTTTATTTTATTTTATTCCAATCAAATATCTAGCTTCCTGTTTAAGTAACTCAGTATTTTTTATAAATTGAATTATTAGTATGCACAATAAGGAAAAAGTATGGTCATTACTGTTATGCTGAAAGTATGCTATTTAACTGTTTTTTTGGCTCTATGGGAATACTCAAAAGCATGGTAATTTTTATCGAAGTTCTTTGGTAATGATTTTGGTACAGTTAACAGCAAAACATTGTTTTATAGTATAGGTTAAAATTCGGTAAATGTTATGAAATTTGGTAATTTTTCTCATGATAGCTTGGAGCATGGCATAAGAACTATTTATTCGTATGAGAACACCAAAAGCTGAGTAATTTTTGCCTAAACGCTTTGGTTATGATTTTTGTGAAATTAGCAATGAAACATTGTTTTATAATATGTTATAATATCTGGCTAATGTGGCAAAATCTGGTAATTTTTTAATGATACCTTAGAACATGTCATAAAAGCCTTTTATTTGATTAAATTTATTTTTCAGTTTTGTATTTTTTCATTAAATGTGAAGTAATAAGAAGTTATGCGAAGAATTATATGTGAGATAATAATTACGTTAAGCAGTAAGAACCTTAATTATTAAATTATAATTTCCGGTAAACTGTTACCATATGAGCGGAATAATTACGAAATGAATGGCTTAAATACCGTGTATATAAGTTTTATCATAAGGAATTATGTGTTGTTGTTGTTGTTTTTTTTTAGCAGAAATGTGATTATCATGGAGTATGGTAACTTTTCCTGCCTTTTTTTTTCTCTGTGCATTAAAAAATACGAATTACAAAAATATAACAGTTCTTAATTTCTCGTAAATTGCGTCCTAGGAAGTTGGTTGTTTTCTATTCCTAGGAAGGGGGTTGTTTTCTATTCCTAGGAAGTTGGTGGGGCGAACAATTCGAATCAATCCTCGGCATCCTCTGCTACGAATCATTACGCACAAGCTTTTAAGAAATATATACCCCATAGCTTTAAGTTTCATTCTGATAATTTTTTTCTTCGTCCCTACCTCAAATGAAAGAGAATTCAAGCGAATTTTCTCATAGGAAGTTTTGATAGATACCTCCTACCTTAGGTTTTTTTTTAAATTTTTTCTTTTTTAAAACTAAATTTTGAATCGCAACTCTTGCAGATCACTACACTTCAGCACTTCTACAGCTAGTAGATTTGCATTAGAAATTTGTTCCACCTCAGTTTGTTTCAATTTATTTTCATTTATTTATTTAAATCTTCTTGTAAATCGTAGGTATAAAACGGAGATGCGTGGAAGAAGTAGCAGACGACACACTACAATTGATTTTATTTAATTATTTACTTTCTAAGTTTATTTTTCTTCCCTTAAGTTCTAAATTGGCGAATTGATATTGACCAGTCTCCGTAATAGAATATGAAAATAAATTCAAAAAAAAAATTAAATCAATAAATAACTGCTCAAGACTTTTCCCTAATATTAAAGCATATTATGCACTTTCAGAAAAATTGATTTTACGTGGTCAATAACAAGACTTATTAACCGAATAAATTGTTTTTATGCCATGCTCTAAGGCATCATAACAAAATTACCAAATTTTACTGCACTATCCAAATTTTATCACACATTGTTAAACCACATTTTACTGTTAGTTTTACCAAAATCATTACCAAAGCGCTTCGGTAAAAATTATTGAGATTTTTGGTGTTCCCCTTGGAGCCGAAAACACGTTAATCTTTACCATATTCTGGTAATTTTGAGCAAATTTTTTTTTTCTCACTGCTGTAAGAAGGATTTTACTGACGCTACTCTCACAGTTACAGTAATTTTTTTCGACATCTTTTACAGCGTGCTTATTTATTTTTTTCTTGTTAACACTATTCAAATTCAAACCTGAAATGCAAAATTTATTGCTCAAGGATTTTAATTACGCTTTCAGGTGGTTACACACGCATGAAAAATATTTTATAAAAATTATTATTATCAATTCTAATTCCATCTTGGCTATTGATCAAACTTAAATTCCATACAACTTAAAAACACAATTATACTGAAATTAATTAAATTTTTATAAATCGTATTTCCACTGATAATACCTAATTATACTAATTATTAGCTGCTCTCTGATAATGAAAACTTGTTTATGCGTCATATATCTTTAAATATTTCCAATACTTTATTCAATTCCAGTGTTTTTATTGCATCATTCTACTAACACTTAAAATTAGTTATTTGTTCACACACGTTGATTGAATATTGTCGTGGTAATAGTCAATCAATATATATTAAAATTTTGTAAATTATACTTCATGTTCAATTCAATGATTTTGAATTTATTTATCTACTTAGAAGAAAAAAATCTGAAGAAAAAATCATTGTTAATTCATATTACATGATTTTTTTTTTCATTCTATATATACGTTAAAAAAACTTTATTGTGAAGCAATGCCAATTTTTCTGATTTTTTTTTAATTAATTCATATTGTAATACAAATTTTTAAAATTTTTTTCTGTGCGCATATTTTTACGATACATTTGAATGCATAGTCTAAAAAGTATATGAGTTTATAAATGATGAAAAGTTAGTTTAGTTCCTCATCAAAGTGTTTTGGATTCGCATACGTATAAATGAAATAAACTTTCACAAGGTTAATATAACGTTTTTTCCGGCGTAAAATAATTATTCCAATTT